TTTCTTCTAATCAACTGAATAACCATTTTGCGAACCCTGACTCATTAACTCGTCCCTCTTCACACTGCATTCCGAAAATTTCCTTTTCTGCAATTTCTATTTTGCAATTATTTAACCAGAAGATCTACTTTCCTCTATGATAAAATCCTGAACAAAAGACTATGGCCCGGATCTAATTCCTGCAAAGTTAATCAAACTATGTCTTCCTGTCATCTTTTCTATCCTACTGCATATCTACAATTTTTCCTTAAAAAATTCCAGTTTCCCTTCGGCTTGGACAAAAGTTATTGTCCGCCCGTTGAATATGGTTCCACTTCCTTCCAAAGTTACCGATTTCAGACCCATATCCGTCCTCCCCAACATTTCGAAACCTCTTGAAAGAATTGCCCATGCACAGCTTAGCACGTTCCTAGAACTAAAACCTCTTCCCAATCCTCTCCAGTCTGGTTTCCGATTCCAGTTCTTCACCTAGTCTCTTTTCTGGAAAAGTACTCAAGGCCTTCATTTCTCCATAGACAAACAGAAAATCACTATCCTGGTCCTCTTTGATTTCTCAAAAGCATTCGATTCAGTCAATCATGAAATCCTCATTTCCAAACTCCAAAACCTTTCCATTTCAAATAGTGCTCTAAACTGGTTCCATTCCTTCTTGTATCAAAGATCCCAAACAGTTATCATACCTAATAAAACTACTTTCTGCCTCCTATAAGTTGTAGCAGCTTGGCTCTTAAGTCGTCTCCCTCATTTTAAACAGTTGTGATGGTAGGTTGTCTATCTCTTCCAAGTAAGTATTTTGTCTGTTTGTAAATAGAGGTACCTTAATAATTAATTAAGAATTTTTGTTTTCCCGAATTAATGCATAGATATGATTTATTTTATTAATTCGTGAAATTTTATTTCGTAATCGTTATTGAATTCCATTTTAAATTCACAGTATAATGAGGACCAGTTTAGAACTTGCGCTTTCATACATACACACCAGAGCGCACACCCTTCCCCAAGATATCGAGGTGGCCCAATATCCGAGGAGAAAGGAACTAGGCACAAGAGAGCTAGGCTATTGTTCCTGGTGTTTACCAAGTTAGCTAATGAAGGAACTCTTTGTCTTAGGAGGAGGCTGCTACAATGACCAAAACCACAAGCCTCGTTAATAAAGCCCTTATTGTCAGTCAGCTCCTACACAGCTCACCGATACCTTGTTTAATTATCTATCATCCTCAGGCATTAACCGCTACCTCCTCCTTATTACCAAGTATATCACGGTTATTGTGGAAACTGCTATTATTAAGGTATCTATCATAATCCGAGCCAAAGTTTCAGTTAGAAACTCAATAGAATGCTATGGAACAACAACAGTTGTAAACATCTCTTCGTTAAATGTAAATCATCTTTACCTGAAGGAATAGCTGAACTAAACAGGCTGAGAAATCGATAGGGTGGTGAAAAACTACAATAGATTTTAAGTAAGGCATGTCGTATTTGCGTTTACGCAAACAACTTCGTTTCAATTTCAACTTTTCTATCTGCAACGAATAATCAGCTCTATACACTAGCAGTTTCAAAGGAAGAGGGGTGGTTTCGGGGTGAAGCCTCCTCCCTAAAAAATATACATACTGTTTTCATTCGCCATTTTGTATCCAGGTTTGTGCATACTTAAAGTTGTTTAGCTGAAATGCTCAACGACAATGTGTGCATATCGATGTTGTAGGCATCTGTAAACAAGCATCATGCTGGCGTGATACAGAGCGACAAGGGATCAAAGAAATTTGTAGCTTATATTTATATCGCTTATTTAAAATTCAAAACATCGCCTAATGTGTAATGTGTCTTATAATAGTCATAAATCTATTACACTTTAATTAGGTAGGTTTTTATTATGGGTGATAAATATTCAGGACGCAGTCATTATAATGTTTTTATTAGTACCGAAGTTTCAACCCAAACATGTGGGTCATCATCAGGGCATGGTTCGAGCAATGAAGATATTCTAGTACTCCATATTCAGATATTCAGTACTTGAATAACCTCAGTGCTCGAACCACACCCTGATTATGACCCACATGTTTGGGTTGAAACGTCGGCACTAAACCTTATAATAATTGCGTCCTGAATATTTATCACCCATGATATGTAGAACAGTCGACTAACTTCCTTCAGTACGTTTTTATTATTGTTTATTACTCGTATACACTGATGGATCTGCGGGAGGATTCGGGCTGAACCCTCCTTTCCCCTCCTCCACAATTGAATTTTTTTTTTTTTTTTTATTGATCCTTATTTGCTTATGTGAGAAATCTAACAAAATACTCAAACAATCTTATGCATCATATCTAAAACTTGTTATAGTTGTTGCTGTTTTTTTGTTTTTTTTGTCGCAACGCCATTACTTAGTCAATTCTTCTTCAAATCCATTGATTGAGCCCTCATTTTAAAGATCTTCTTCTCCTTCAGGTCGGAAAAATAGTTACATCCTCCCAAAATTTAAGGAAAACAAGTTATGAAGGAAAAGAACCTTTATTTGCGAATAACAAAAAAAGTATGCGTTTTTTTCTTACTTGTACTCATGATTATTAAACAGATTACTAAATTACCTACAAAACAAAAATAAATTGTGAAAATCGGACAATTATTAACAAAGATGTAGTCGATTAGTTTTGGTATAGCTTATAATTTCTTTCTCTTTAAAGATACTGCATTTACTATTCTACTATCCTTTTTTATCTGGCTGATATATACTTTATTATTTCTTAAAAGCATTTTTTTGTTTGTATATTTTATATTTTTTTAATAATTCAGAAAATCGCATGATCGATGCTTTATTTTGAATGTTACTTTCCAGTCAGCGTTTATAGTCCGTGGTACAGATCCCTTTTTATGGAGTTATTAACATCCGCCTGAAACGTCGTAAATAGTTTCATCTCATCGTAACCTACAACTATTTTATTTAAGAAAACTCTTGGGATTGGGGCGATTTCAATCTGGCGAGGGGCAAACTTTGTCTATTTAATTATGTACTAAAAAATCTTAAATACCCATTTGCTTTCTACTTTGATCGTAAGATAATTTGATCACCAAATCAATAAAAAAGATGCTCTACAAAAATATGAGCTGTTTGTCCTATATAACCTCGTTATTATGAAAATTTAGGGGTGTAGATAAAGCCAAACGCCTCAATATTTTTGAAGGCCACCTTTTTTCTCGATTTTGTGATCAAATTATCTTACGATCCAAGTAGAAAGAAAATAAGTATTTACGAGTTTTTAGTACCTGAGTAGATAGACAAAATTTGCCTCCCTCCGGATTGAAAACGCCACAATTCCAAGAGTTTTTGTAAATAAAATAGTTGTAGGTTACGATGATATGAAACTATTTACGAAGTTTCAGGCGGATGTTAGTAATTCGATAAAAAGTCTTTACCACGGACTATTTAAACTAGGCTCTAGCAAAGCAATTTGTACAAATATTTTGGTCTATTGCGTTAAATGGGATATTGTAATCGACCAAGGAAAAACAATTAATTCCTCCCTCACATAATAAATAGGATCTACTTATTTCTATATTGTTTTTGCTATTCCTGTACTAAACAAAATTTTCTGGGAATTATTAACGCGGATCAACTAGTTCGAATATATTCTCTTTTCACATTATTACGCATATAAAGCTGCTAAATGTAAGCACGTGTCAAGAAAAAGTATAAGAAATTTATCTCTAACAGCATTACTTTCCCTATAATTATTTTTTTTCTCTCAAGAACTACTGACACATCATTTAATATAAATAGTTTATTTTTCCTTTTTTTCAGAGTAATTACAGTTATTAAAAAAAAAAAAAGTGTTGCCCCCAAATAAATTTTGGGTCCGTCACTACTTGTGTACATCTTATTAATTTCCAACAATTCATAATATTTTTTTTTTTTTTTTATTCTTTTCAATTAATGACATTGAATAAATCCATATAATTTTAAGAATAGAAATTTAAGTTAAGTTTTTAGGTCTTTTTGTTAAGTTAAGTTTTTAGTTTGCAATTAGGTGCTAAATATATTTCCTAATTGCAGTGACTATTGTATTATAAGTGATGTTGCTATTGTTTAGGGGTTATTACGTTTACTTATATGAGTTCCGTAAACCTCACATTCCATTACATTATGGTATAGAGTTTCATGATTCAAACAATTTTCACATTGGGCCTAATTCGAAACTTCTATACGGTGTAAATAGCTGTTGCATAATCCGTAGATGTAAATATACAATCTAATTTAATATATTTTGTAGCAAGTATGATACATGAAGGACAGATCTCTTTCGGCGTTATAGGACATCAAATGAAATGAATATCAGGATAAGAATTTAAAATATACGAATTATTGTAAATGTCTTATTTTAAAACGAACGTAGGTGAAATATCCAAACCTAAGGAATCTCTTTAAAATCAGTTTTTTTTTTGTAATCAGATAAAGTTCATAAACGGGTAACCATCGTTTAAAATTAATTTCAATGAATCCTGCAATAACACCGGCAGCAACTGCTTCTTCCTTTTTTGATTCAGAACTGATTTATGTCTAGGCGCGCAACATTGTAGAAAACATGTTTTCATAAATACTGCGACTAACATGTTTCCCATCATCATCCAACACCCATCAACGAGTTGCCAATATATTGGATCTTGGTTTGCAAATACATTTAGTATGCTTGCGATTAATGGTAACCTTTTGTTAGTAAAGTAATAATCAACTTACTAATTAATTTCAGCTATCAAAAGAATTTAAAACAAATCAGTATGTTGAGAAAAATCTGATACGGTGCGCGCATATACAACATTCACTTAACGCTCTACTTTGATTAAAAATAGGTCTTTTCGTCATTTGATATTCTAGGCTCAAATCTCAACGTGGCCAACGTTCGATTAGTAAAGTAATATAAAATAATAATAATGTATTATAAAAATATTTAGGTGGTAGAAACATCATAAATTAAGAACAGGAAGTAAAAATCATCTATTAAATTTATGCTTTTTGGTAACTAACCATACTCTAGTAAGACTGTATATTTTAATTATTTATTTAATTATAATAAATAATTAAGTGCTATGATTTTTTTTTTCAGTCCAACAAGAATGCCTACCTTTCCTTAATACTTGATATAAATCAGAACCCCATTCATCGCTAATACGACTCAGGATGGCCAAGAAGATACGAGAATTAAAAAGCAGAAAAGGTCAGAGGGAGAGAGAGTTTAAGGATGAGCAGAACCAGAAGCGCGGAATAATCAGAGCATTGTTTTATAGGAGCGGGAGCATCCAGTTTCTAGCAGAAGGACCAATTGGCCAGCGAGCAGTTTTGCCTCTCGACCCCCGAATAACGACCACTGACAACTCCTCCACTCCACCGTCCCCACTCGACTCATAATGAAAATCCACTCATTTTTTTTATTTTCCAAACTCTGCTCATCCAATTACCCTTAGATGCCGTTCTAAGTTGTTTTTCTACTTCGACTGGACATGAGTCCGGAAGAAAAAACTTTCTGACGAATTGGAAAATTCAACCAGGTGGGTTTCTCAAACATAAATAATTAATAGATATTTTGAATATAATAGAGAGAGAAATACTTTCTTTGAAGCAGTGCTGCCCTACTATATAGGGTTGCTCGATACACAGCATTCTCATCAATCCTTTTTTTTTTTTGGACATACAAATTTTATACAAATTTTTTTCATATTACACAGCACAAACAATATCAATACTATAATATACTAATACATGCAATTACAATTATACAACATATTATATATACACATTTCGGTGAAACCGATACAAGGCAATTTCTAAAATTTATAGGGCTAAATATATATATATATATATATATATATATATATATATATATATATATATATATATATATATATACAGTATTCGAATGCCAAAGTTTTAACACCAGAAAATTAGAACGCACACACAGCCAGTAACATAGTCCTATGAACATAGACAAACAGATATGGTCACTTAAATAATTTAAAATTTAATAGATAAATAAATAATGATAATCAACCCCTAATTATCATATATGTGATGATTAATGATCCCAAGGGAGTCCAGAATAATACCCTCGGCCAACACTGCAAGCTCCCCGACATCAAAACCTAGATTCTCGAAGAAGCTCCCTGTTATTTTAGGAATCATTCCACGAGACCCAAACCAGAGGCCTCTCACTGTGAACTCTCTCTCTCCGAAGCTCTCGCGGAATTTCTCTTTTAGGAAAAGGATGCATTTCTCGTAGAATTACTGCTTTTCTCTTTTTACTTCATTGGTTTGATCGAGGTCGTTGCTCTCATAGCGAACAGTTGGATCCAAGACCAGTGCCGCCTTTCCGGCCCTGGAGAATGCAACTATATCCGCGAATCTTGTTGATACATCACTATCAATACAATAGACCTCGTCAAAGCATACGAATTCCCTTTCCCTAAGGAGCCTCATCAATTCGAATTTTACCCTATGGTGCCGGCGTGTTATGAGGAGGGAGTTGTTGGGGCGTTTTCCCAGCACATGGGCTGGTGTTTCAGACTCTCTGCCACATTTGTGACAGAGGAACCCAACTTCCTTTGACTGTCCACGGGTTCCTGAGACTCCACGCAACGGTGCATAGTGGATGTTAAGTTTCAAGGCGTTGGACCATTCTGACCCCGAAAGTACTTGCTTCTGGCATATATATTTATTAGCTTTCGGAGTCTCTTTAACGTGCCTAACTCCAACGCCTTGCCACCTGCAACTGGCCCATTCTTCAAAACAATTCTCCCTCAGCGACTGTCGTAGAGCTCTCATGCTTCGGTAGCCCTAATCAACACGCAGTCTCTCCACACATTCGGCTATTTCGGCGTTATAATCAAATATAGACTGGAACAGGGCATCCGGTATACTGGACAGTCGCTGGGCAATGGACCAATGTTGCAAGGACAGCGGACCCATTGACAGCGAATCAGTCCCAATCCTCGATACCTCCTTGGTGCATATAACATCGCCGATGATGTACTAGCGGGGAGCCCTATGATCGCCTTGATACACCTGCGGATATTTACATCAATCCCCTCCAATAATGCAGGTCGTATCTTTGTAAGGGGCGCCGTCTGGAGAGGATAGGTAAGTCCCGGAAACACATATTGATCAACTACATTGCTCTTTTGCTCCGGTTTGAGAAGGCAAGAGCTCACCAGTTTATCAAAGTTTTCGTTAATTTTTTTTATCTTTTCCTCATTTATTATTAGCTCTCCCGAGAACGTGCATCCTAAATATTTTATAGTATCATCTGCCTTTGATGTATGAATGACTTCTCCGTTCTCAAGGGAAAGCTTTGTTTGTTGCAGCTCTCCTTTATCAATTATTAGGCCCACGCTTTTTTCGGATTGATACCCAGAACGATCTCGGCGAAGATCCTCTGTACACAGTTAATTATCCTTTCTGCAGCACCCTCGCGTGCTGAAACAGCCTGGTCATCCGCGAAGCCTGTGAGGACCACACAACTTGGTAGCTAGTGAGCTTGCATCCCTAATGCTTGGAAAATTCTTGCTCATAAAGGTCGCGGTATAGATGGCCTATAGCCAGGTTGAACAGCGAGGGCGACAAGAGTCCGCCTTGGGGTACTCCTTGCCGCACTTTGATCCTGGTTGTAGCGTGGGCTCCTACTCCAATCTTAATTGAGTTAGTACCCAGGAGAGCCGCAATCACGTCTTTAAAGTCTGGTGAGACCCCTCTAGCCTCCAGTGAGCTGATGATATGGTCGTGACCAACGTTGTCAAAGGCGCCTACAACATATAGAAAAACCACAGCGCAATCATTCTTTTTACATTTGGCATCCCTTATGATCGCGTAGATGATTCTCGCGCTGACATGTGTTCCCGGCAGGTCCCTGATAAAAACCTCTCTGATTTTTGCTGAAGGTGGTCTGTTTCCTCAATTCTTGGTCCAGAAGCTTTTCAATGATTCGGCGCACAATCGAGTAAATGGTTATGGGTCGCCATGATGATATGTTGTTGACATCACCCTTTCCCTTGTAGACCAAGATTTTGCTCCCTTGAAGCAGAGGCTCTGGTACGGAAGCCACCCTCCGCAATTAGCTTAATTATAAGAGAAATATCATAATACTTTATTGTGCCGATCAGAACTCCGTACATCAGATTTGGCATGGGGGAGCAATTTTCATAATCCGAACGTTTGCAGAGATTTTTCTTTTCAAAGAGGCTTCTGAAGTGGCCTTCAATCTCGGCTACCTTCAGTGGGCACTGTTTAGCAGTGTCGGCGTTCATAATATTTTGGACTACTTTTCTTCTCCTATTACAATAGTTATATTGAGCCACCTCGTAGTTGTATTGCTCCTGCCGACGACTCCTATCTGCCTTGGTAGCCCTCTGTGGATTCGACACTTTTCCAGCACCCTTGCCTGCCATATCAGTTTTATTTTTCTTTCTTAACTTATAAAATTTAACGGCAGGGTGAGCTGGTCCAGGCAATTCATTATTTGGACCTCAGCTCAATTCCTATCACTAGGTGTCCAAAAATCAAGTTTTTCCTACATTCTCAGTTGGAGTAGACTAATATACATAACTCCTGAAAGTAGCGAATTCCTCCAAGAATTTCTAGTCATTAAGACAGAAGAGAATTCTTTTCCAGTTTCTTTAACGAAGACACAGGAACTTGTTATAGGTGTAAAAATTTCACCCTCCCCCCAATGTCCCACCCTCCATCCTGATAATAAACCTACCAATTCACAAGGGCTGGCTGAATTTCCCGCATTAAATGAAACTGCAAAAGCTAATAATAACCAATCAACAATTCATAGTAAGGTTAGCTCCACAATATTTGAGGTAACCATAGATAAAGATAACTCTATCCCAAAGCCAAACAATGAATCGAAAATCGATTTAAAAGAAACCTGGAATGAATCCCTGTTCCAACCGAAAATTAATTGGACAAACCTGCCAAAATCAAGATCTTTTAAATTTATATGTAGGGGTAAAAACAAAAAAAATTAGTAGTTACCAATAATGTAGTGATAAAAACACCTGGGACAGATAAAATAGCCACTAACACGCAAAATGATCTCGAAAAAAACACATTAGCCGAATCCCTGCTCTCAATAAAAGTACTTATTGATACACCTGGGAAAAACTACCCCCTTCATATTATTCCATTATTAATTCTTCTAGAAACATTATTATCACTAAAGACTCAGAATCAGCAACGTTGGAAATAACAAACGGCCTTGAGTCTACTATAAATATGCTTCCAGAACTCTATCCTTTCCTTACTAAAAAAAGCTTAAACAGTAGATTCACTAAAGTAATAAAAGGATTACAAAAGTACATCAGAAATATTCCTCTAATGTGTAACACTAATAACAGATAGAACTAACCCCACGCACTCATCTAAATTTTAGGTTATATTTTCTTCTCAAATAAAACATATATTAATTCTAAATTGGAACGGTGACGGTATTTATTGTCACTATAATGATTTGCAGTTTTTAATTTCTAGTTATAATCCTACAATAATTACTCTGTAATTAAAGAAACCCACTTAAAAGGCAACCAGACAATCTTGAAATCAACATACAATTGTATTAGTAAAACAGTCTCTCGTTCGACAAAGGCCAGCGGGGAAGCCACTCTTGCCCTTCAAAACGGAATCAGCCACGCTGAGATTAATTTGTCCTCTAAATTAGAAGCAGTGACCGCAGTTGTACATTTGCCGGTCCAGTTTACGATCTGTTGTATTTACCTTCATCCTTCAGATCGTATCACATACGGCGATATTCGAGACCTCTTACTCCAACTTCCTCCTCCATTCCTTTTAAAAGGGGATACAAACGCAGGGGATGGCAGGGGAAAAATTCTAGAGTCCATAATAGAAGACTTTTCCCTCATAGTGTGCAGTCCCTCCGAACCGTTTTTAATCCATTGATCTCTGTTTAGCCTCACACGCCTTTCCCATTATCCCTTCCCCCCCGTCTTATTTCCACTGTGATCTTCACCCTTTACGATGGAAGAACTGAAACACAGTATGAGAACTACTCATTCAAAATCCACAGACCCATATCAGGTTCACATAGAATTCATAAAACACTCTCCTACAACAGTTATACAGCTGTTATTAAAGCTCATCCATAATTAATGGATCAGCAGAGATTTAAATCTAAATCTAATAAAGATACCAAATCAATTCAAAGTTATAGGCCCATCGCTCTCACATCCATTCTATTGTGTTGAACGAGAAAACGGTAAATCGCCGTCTATTGTGGGAATTAGAAACCCAAAAATTACTCGATTCACAACAATGCGGATTTCAAAAACCCAGATCAACAATGCACCTTCTTTTTAAATTTAACTCCTTCTTAAAATCATCTTTTGATAAGAACCAACATGTTATTACAATTTCCCTAAATCTTGAAAGCGCATTTGACTTCTGTTGGAGTACAAACATTTTAGAAACTTTAGACACTTTGGGTCTAACATTGTATCTTTTATAAAAAAATTTCTTGGCGATCGAAATTTAATTGTTCGCGTCGGGTCAGTTTTTTTAGATAACTTTGACTTACCCAATTGAGTTCCTCAGTGATCCGGTTTAACTTCTACGCTTTTTAATATTTCTATTAATGATACAAGAAATTTAATATAAGAATAACCAGT